AGGGGCTGCACCAGGTTTTGAGTACTGATGAATAATTAATCTGTTTTCTGTCTTTCCCATTTGGCCTGCTTATTTTTCTCTGGATGGCATTCTGTATCCCTCACTTCCCTCCCTCTCTTTCTCTCTCCCTAGAGCCCTTTCCAACAGAGTCTGTACTGTCATTCTGGTGATCAGCCTAATGACAGTCAATCTTTCTAGTTTGCCAAGCAATTGTGAGGAGCCATCTACGACAGCTATATTGCATCATTTGTTTCACAGGAAGTCAGCAATCCATACAATTTTCTGTTTCGGAGATAAAATATTTCTGTCAAGCAATCACTCTGCCGTGAAAAGATGCAATCAGTCTGAAAAAAATATATATTTGCATTTCCCTTGTCACAGGCACAAATAATCACATAGACAAGTCTCTTGACAAATATAGGGCGCATAGACCCCCTAAAATACACTTTAGAACAATACTATAATACATTTAAAGCTTTATTAACATTTCATTGTGGTAGTCTCATACCCTATAAGTATTGGTGTCAAAGGGCCTTTTAAGGCCTACTTTGTGAACATGAAAACATTAATACAGCAAAGTATAGCGTTGATAATCTGAAAGCTAAATTATTATATAACAGAAAGCTAAAGTGCTGCTTAGTGATTCAAAAATGTAGAGGCTTGTAATTGTAGTGCATGAAATGATTACCTGAGAAGCAGTTGAGCAGCTGCATAAACAGAAGTTGCTGAAAAAATGGTATTCTTCACAATTCAGAATTTAAATTTCAGTTTGTAATTTAAATTTAGACTGAAAGAGAGTGGAAATGATATGTCATAAAGTGATTACTGTCATATTTTGACCTGACAGTGCACATGCAAACACACTCCGATTCACACTGTGTTTTAAAATAGGCTAACATCAGTCATGAATTTCAATTATTACCTCTTCCTATAGTTATACAGGTGCATCTCAATAAATTAGAATGTCGTGGAAAAGTTCATTTATTTCAGTAATTCAACTCAAATTGTGAAACTCGTATCCACAATTTGTTCAGGAAATTTGATTTATATTTGATTATCAAATATAATGAATGAAGCACTGTCAACAGCATATTTTAGAAATGATATATTTTAAAATGGGAAATTAATGACATAGTACAGTAAAAATATTAATAATAAATATATATATTTAAAATATTAAATGTTAATTAAATATTATTTTGTTTTTATTAAAATAAAAAAAATCTGCTTTCATCAGTTAGCTTATACAGTTATAATAGCCTGCAAGGGCATCCTTTTTTATAACAGTACACTAAGCAATAATCCAGCAAACTAAAATAGTTGCACTGGTCAGTGTTGAGTTACCAACTGATGGCAAACTTTGTTTTTTCCTCTTTGTTCTCAGCTCCTGACACATGTTCAGACAAATCCATAGGCATCAGAAGTCGGTGTTCCACATCTTATTAAGGACCTTAGAGGTTGTTAGATGCACAAGTGAGCTTGATTGCCTTTCACATACAATTGAAAAACTGCTTCATCATGACTTGCTTTCCAAATAATGAATAAATCACCCACCCAGCAGGTTGAACTCGAATGAAGAATATCCAGGACAAAAGCTTTAAAACCTGATGTCTTTTGAGTCTGGGCACTCAGTTGGGGTTTTTTTCATCCTCATTTTCATGTGCATCTGTGTGTGAGAGACAAAAAGAGCAAGTTGAGTAGTCTTTCCTTTGATTATGTGATCTTATAGCTGCTATACACAAACTATACACTGACACACATTCACACACACACACACACACGTGCAACTGGTTTCCTTGGCAACAGCAGAAAGGCACTAAAAATCAAATTTTGGGAAATGCTTCTTGTTTCCTCGCATTCTTCATCTGCTTTTCATTCCAGATGACCTTTATGTGATTGTACCTTGCATAAATGATAAAATAATCAAATTTTCAGTTACAATTGGGCCTGACATCACTTACATGCATATCTGTGACCTTCAGCAAAACATCTGGGTCTGATAAAGCAATGTAATCTATAGAGCAGGCAGGAAATAAATGATCACCGCACGTCGCCTCACTTAATTAATCAAGGTGCACAGATTGGTAATAGAGATTGTGAGCTTACTGCACTGCAATCTTAAAATCCCCATGAAAATTAAATGGAAGTTTTGTGGATTTTAGACATGTGTCTGCATTTTATACATGTAAAATTTCTTCTTCCAGCAAAATGGACCAGAATTACTAATAATGCATCTTGCGCTCACGATTTTTTTTGCCCAATCAAATGCTCTATAGTATGAGAAAGACCCTCCCCCCAATATAACTTAATATGACAAGCAATAGCAAGTAGCAACTTTTATATGCAGTAACATTAGCGAAAACAACACAATCTCACAGTAAGTCAAAAACTATTGTACATTTCATAACTATTTTACAATCTTCTCATGTCCCCGTGGTGATTACGTTTAGGGGTAAACCTTAATGTTAAAATACTATATGTTTTCATATGATTCACGTTGTACAAATTCATACAAAATCGCCACCTTGTAAAATAGTTACATTTTCCTGGGAGATCAGGTTGGCTTAAAGCTATAGGCTATTGGCTATAAATAAAAAGGATAAACTTTTCAAAATCTGCCCAACTTTCTTTTTTAATATTAAATAAGTCAAATTATTTTTATAGACTCATTCATGTAGGGGGGAAATATTTATTTTATTATTTATTTATTTTGATATTTATTTTTTGAGATTTGAAACTTAGGTAACTCATAATAAATTACATTGCCACAGCCGACAAAATATGAGAAAGCTATGATTCTGATTTGTTTTCATTGTTCTCACAGCTTGTGAACAATTCTGTATGTATTTATTGTATTGTGGGCTATATATAGCTGATGGTCTTTGTCAAGCTCTGTTAATGTCTCATTAATCAGACACGGTCAAAATTAAAATTGGTTCTAAATGCAAAGATAAGGATAAAATAAGCCCTTAAGGATGCACTATTGATTAGATTGTTTCCTTCAAGGTGAGCATCAGACTTGATAGATCTCAGTTAACCCCCATTGACTCATTGAGAAGGGTACAAATTGTATTGTACTTGCTGGCAGCAGAGCTCCGAATGCATTAACCCTGTCTGTCTGTCTGTCTGTCTGTCTGTCTGTCTGCCTGTAGCAAAAACCTCTTTCACAATGCTTCTGTCGTCACAGCCGAAGTAGCTAAACTCGTATTTGTTGAATCTAAAGCAGTATGATATGAGAATTTGCTTGGTCTGTGCTGAAATAAGTTTTCTATATTCAGCTAGAGCAAAGTTTTTTTTTTTTTTAAGTATAACCATTTTTTTTTTCAGTGTGTGCTTAATATAATGTTTATTTAAATATCATTTGAATTTGAATGAATAGGAAGGCAAATGCGTTTCAACGCTGGTTGAGTTAAAACTCCATTAAGAACTCGAAGGAAGAATGAGATTTGACAGATGGATGAACAGCTGCTGAAAGTGGTTGACACGGGCAAACAAATGTAGACTATGATTTAAATGAATTTGATTATGGTTTCGTGCATGGTCCATTAGACTGTTCAGGCTTAACAAGGCTCGATGGCGCCATCTTCTGTATATAAAGAAATAATAGAATACACCACCCTTCCAAAATTTGGCTCGTAAAAGTCTTTCTTATTTTGTAAAAGTCTCTTATGCTCACCAAGGCTGCACTTATTTGGTCAAAAATACAATCAACCAGTAATACTCTAACATTATAACAATTAAAAATAAATGCTTTATATGTTAATATATTTTAAAATTTAATTTATTCCTGTGATGACAACCATGAATTTTCAGCATCATTACTCCAGTGTTCAGAGTCAAATGATCCTTCAGAAATGATTCTAATTAATATACTGATCCTCAATAAATATTTACTTATTATTATCAGTGTTGAAAGCAGGTGTACGTTTTTTTGGAAACTGTGATAAATAGGATTTTTTAAATATAATTATAAAACATTACTTTATTCCTTATATATATATATATATATATATAAGGAATATACTGTAGTAGGCCTAAAGTAATGTTTTATATGCATGTGTGTGTGTGTGTGTGTGTGTGTGTGTCTGTGTGTGTACTTGTTTATGCTACATTGTGGGGACCAAATGTCCCCACAAGGATAGTAAAACCTGAAATGTTTTATTTTTGCCTGCGGTCCCCACGATGGAAAAAAAAATTATTAAAAATAGTAAATTATGTTTATCTGAAAGTGTAACAATGCAAACAGGTTTTCTGTAAGGGGTAGGTTTAGGGTTTACAAAATATCATTTGGTCAGTATAAAAGTAATAGAAGTGTATGGAAAGTTCCCACAATTCACAGAAACGTATGTATAAAGGGATATACTGTAGTATTATAACACAAACACGTGTGTGTGTGTGTGTGTGTGTAAAGGAACATAGCTTACTATAGTAAAGTTTTTAGTAAAAAAAAGATATTCAAGAGATACATATAGACCAAAAGGTCAAAGGTGAATCCGAAGCATTTCATTGTTATTTTATTCATTTCTATTAAATTTCGTTTTGTAAAAGCAATGAAACAACAAATATAACACTATAAAACAATATACTATTTTATACAAATATATGTAGCCTATATTAAAAGGTGTTTACGGCGTATTATTTTACCAAAACTGGCAAAATCACTGAAAGACGACATAAGATTTCGTTACGTGAGATGAAGTGACGATTATTATTATTTACTTCTGAATTTTCGCACATAAACCGTTCACATATGCTGCGGTTACGTAAAGTCAGCTTTTCGACAGAAGGTGAGTGCTTAAAACATAGTTAAAATAAGTGTTTGAACAAACAACGAAAGAACCGTTACATAAAAGGATTACGTTGTGAATTAAGGGTACGAAACAAAGATCTCGTTTGACGAGCTGGATTTTCTACGGAACTACGTGAGTCCACTGGGTGGCGCAGCGTGGCAGGACAGTAGCGGTCGCTGCCTACATCATCTTTCTTTCTATAAACAACCCCAAAGAAACGAAGGCGAGAGGTGGAGCCGCTGCGCTGACAACTGTCAAAAGAGCCGAGCCCTTCCGTCCTCAAAGCATCTTGTCGTAGCGCGTTAGAATCCGTTATAAGCCACGTGATTGAAGTGAGTATTCCGTGTCTCGTGAGTGTAACGACGTCTCTGTCGCTATTCCGTTATCGCGGAGCCGTTTCGGATGAGCGGTTCGCACTTTGGCAGGTTTATACGGACTGCATGTCTTCCTGGAGACCCACGGAGAAGGTGAGACGACCACAAGTGTGTATGAACGCTAACTTACATTTTCAAAAGCAGCGTTGCCTAGTCAACTAGGACTAGTCAACATGACATACGTGCTGTAGAAATGATGCTGAGCGAGCGTTTTATAGACATGTGCCGCAAACGCGCTAGTAAATAAACGCATTTCCACGCAAAGGCTGCATAGCTACATAATGTGTAGTTGTATTCTCATTTGGAGAGTCTGTTCGTGATTATTCATCACAGAACTATGTGCTGTTCCCTCCGAGAAAACATTTAATTTGCATCCACGTCGGGAAGGAAACAAAATGACCCCGTTTTAAAAAGAAACGTTTCTTTGTGGTTAAAATTGGCGGAAATATCAAGAGAACCGCCAAAGTAAGAATGGAAACTCCCTTTGCCCCCTTCTGTGAACTCCAGATCATTACCGTGGTATATATAAAGTGATGTTTGTTGCTTGTGGTTGCATGGTTATGCATGTTAGTTAATATTATTTAAAATAATGGAGTAAATATATAATATTAATATAATATAAAATAATATATTTGTGACCCTGGCCTGGACCACAAAACCATGGTGAATAACCAATAACCGTAAGGGTTATTTTTTCTGAAATTGAGATTTATACAATATCTGAAAGCTGTATAAATAAGTTTTCCATTGATGTATGGTTTGTTAGGATAAGACAATATTTGGCTGAGATACAGCTATTAGAAAATCTGGAATCTGAGGGTGCAAAAAAAAAAAAATCTAAATAATGAGAAAATCGCTTTTAAAGTTGTCCAAATGAAGTTCTTAGCAATGCATATTACTAATAAAAAATTTAGTTTTGATATATTTATGGTAGGAAATTTATAAAATATCCTCATGGAACATGATCTTTACTTAATATCCTAATGATTTTTGGCATAAAAGAAAAATCGATAATTTTGCCCCATACAATGTATGGTTGGCTATTGCTACAAATATACCTGTGTTACTCATGACTGGTTTTATGGTCCAGGGTCACATTTGTTGTTGGCCATAACATGAACAGCTGTAGTATATTAGTAGTCCTTTCACCTTGAATAAAGTGTACAAAACAATAATACTTTGTACAAAATAATAATACAGACCATACACAATATTGTTTCCAAACAGTTCTCTTACCAGTTACATTTTCGATAAAAAATAAATAAATAACGTTAATAATAGAAAAGTTGTATTAAAATCGTATTGAAATTTATATATAAAATATCTTAATCATGTATAACAAAAAAGATCAAGAAATAAATGAGAGATGATGAATTTGATCTGAAAGACAACACTGTCACTTTAAAATAGCTGTTAGAGGGATCATTAGCTGAAGATGGGGATTTCGTTTTAAAGCACTGGACGTGTTGCATCAAACAGCCTCTAAAGTTGGTGTAAATAACACTTCAGTTCTCAATCATCAGGTCATCAGTTTATATATTGCGTCATTGAAAGCATCTGTTACTTTTTTGAAATGTATAGGTTTTGACAGAGATACTGATGCATTTGAATTGCTGATTAAACTTGGTCAAACTTTGCCTCTAGTCTCATCTTAGTGTTTTTCTCCAACATTGGCCATTGAGTAGTTTGTAAATGTGCAGGCATGTTTTAATGCAGCTTGAGAGTATTAGCTCAATCAATCAGGATTAAGGATTTGTAGGGAAAAAAGAATAGGTGCTTTCATTACAAACCATGAATGCTGTATTAAAACAAACAAGAGCGTCGAATGAGCGTTTGTTTGTATTTCTCCATCTGCACAGAAGGGTGGATTCCTAGCTAATTAAAGTGTAAAGTGCATTCTGTTGTTGAGATTATCCAACTAAAGGGACTTAATGTAACTGATTGAAGGGGAACTGGAGGTCCGTGGTTTGGGAATTTGCTCCAAGTGTTCTCCTTCACATAATCTGCTGCTAAAAGCTCCGTCACCCTGCACGGGATGAGCCTGCCGTTTGAGATTAGGAATTACAGAAAGATCAGTATCTGACTACACTTTGTGACTGCAATGACAAGCTGTGGACAGCGTCTTATTAAATGTCATGTTTATTGTGTTTTTCATCTTGGTGATCTGATTCACAATGTTTTCTTGTTTTCCTGTGAGCAGTCAGTAAGGATGTTTCTTAATGAGTAAATGTAATAATAAAGAAGGAACATTTAATCAGGGTTATTATCGTTAACTAAAACAAATTCTTTAAAAAAAAAAATTTGTTAATTGAGATAAAAGCTGAAATAAAATAAACAAATAAAATAACAAAAAATTAAATTAAATAAAAACATTTGATGAAATGTTGCCTTGGCAATTAACTGAAAAAGGTTAAGCTGAAGCACTAAAATTACTGACTGGAAATAAGCAAAAACTGAAAATAAATAGTTATATATATATAAAAAACTAAAATAATGACAATAGAACATTACAGAATTACTAGAAATTAAACAAAAATTAGATGAAATCTGAAATAAAAATAAAAGCTAACTTTAAAAAATTATGTATATTAATATTATTAATATGTATGTGTGTGTGTGTGTGTATATATATATATATATATATATATATATAACCTAAATATGAGCAGTAGTACTAGTCTTGAGTTATCAGTCACCACTAATAAGCTAAAGTACTTTTTACATTATATATATATATATACAGTGGGTACGGAAAGTATTCAGACCCCCTTAAATTTTTCACTCTTTGTTATATTGCAGCCATTTGCTAAAATCATTTAAGTTAATTTTTTTTCCTCATTAATGTACACACAGCACCCCATATTGACAGAAAAACACAGAATTGTTGACATCTTTGCAGATTTATTAAAAAAGAAAAACGGAAATATCACATGGTCCTAAGTATTCAGACCCTTTACTCAGTATTTAGTAGAAGCACCCTTTTGATCTAATACAGCCATGAGTCTTTTTGGGAAAAATGCAACAAGTTTTTCACACCTGGAATTGGGGATCCTCTGCCATTCCTCCTTGCAGATCCTCTCCAGTTCTGTCAGGTTGGATGGTAAACGTTCGTGGACAGCCATTTTTAGGTCTCTCCAGAGATGCTCAACTGGGTTTAAGTCAGGGCTCTGGCTGAGCCATTCAAGAACAGTCACAGAGTTGTTGTGAAGCCACTCCTTCGTTATTTTAGCTGTGTGCTTAGGGTCATTGTCTTATTGGAAGGTAAACCTTCGGCCCAGTCTGAAGTCCTGAGCACTCTGGAGAAGGTTTTCATCCAGGATATCCCTGTACTTGGCCGCATTCATCTTTCCCTCGATTGCAACCAGTCATCCTGTCCCTGCAGCTGAAAAACACCCCCACAGCATGATGCTGCCACCACCATGCTTCACTGTTGGGACTGTATTGGACAGGTGCCTGGTTTTCTCCACACATACCGCTTAGAATTAAGGCCAAAAAGTTCTATCTTGGTCTCATCAGACCAGAGAATCTTATTTCTCACCATCTTGGAGTCCTTCAGGTGTTTTTTTAGCAAACTCCATGCCGGCTTTCATGTGTCTTGCACTGAGGAGAGGCTTCCGTCGGGCCACTCTGCAAAATTAACTTAAATGATTTTAGCAAATGGCTGCAATATAACAAAGAGTGAAAAATTTAAGGGGGTCTGAATACTTTCCGTACCCACTGTATATATATATATATATATATTCATGTGTTCTGCAGAGATGTCAAGGCGAAGCACAAGGTTAGTGTCCAAAGAGACGTCCTTCCCTGATGATGACGCTGCCAGCACGAGCTCCACCGGATCCACTGGACACATCACTTACAAAGAGAGCCCAACCAGGTGTGTTTGTATTTGCTGGAGCTTTCAGTACATCATATAGATAGTTTGCATGTGCATTTTCACCTGATACAGATGCTTTCTTGCAGGATCTTCAAGAAGAGGAGTGGTCGCAAGAGCACAGGCAGTGTTTCCCGCAATTCAAGCCGCGCGAGCAGTGTGAGTCAGATACTGACTGGGCAGCGCAGTGAATTCACTGCCACTGAGAATGAGAATGGTAAGTATCTGCACATACAGAATCTGTACAAATAAATAAATATTATACATACATACATATATATATATATATATATACACATACATACATACA